GTTCCGAGCACGCCCAAAAGACAGGGAACTTTTTGGTTCAAATTGTGATTCTTGTGCAAGGAGTATTTGCAGAGACTGTGCTGCAATTAACACTACTGAAGCCCATGCTGTTTCTTTGTCACAGAGAACTCTCTTGTTTTACTGTCCAGAATGTAAAACCAGAAATGAGGACATGACTGACCTGATACGGATAACTGGACTTCTTGACGGGGCAAAGATGGAAATAGCTGAGAAGGATGAACGGTTTGAAGAGCTGACATATACCCACAAAAGGGAAGTTGAGAGCCTTAAGGAGCATCTAAACAAACTTTCACTTGAAGGCTTGGCGAAAGATCGTCATATTGCAAGGTTAATCAAAAGAACCGGTGATGTTGATGAAGAAGCTCTCATTTACCAGAACGAATATGAGACAAAATTCAAAGAGCAGAAAGAAAAATTAATTAGTTTAAATAGTGAAATTGTTAATTTACAAGGGAAAAATAAGAAACTCGTATCTCAGATTGAAGATCTTAATAATCGGAGCAGCAGGATGAGCTCTGAATTAGTGGAACTGAATGAGCTGAAAAATCAAATGCTAATAAGCATCGAAACTCTTACCAAAGATAACGAGGTTTATATTTTGGAACTGAAGAGAACCAATTACGAACTGTTCTTGCTCAGGGACAAATCAGTCGGCACACAAACCATGGCAATTCTCAATAATGAGGTCGAAACGCAACAATGCGAAACTAATGAAAACGACGTAAATACCTGTTCATTGAGGTTAGAATTGGAAGCTGAAACTGAAAAGCAATTACATGAACTGCAACAGATGAAAGAGTTAAATGCAAACATGATTACATCCATAAGGACACTGGAGGAGGAGAATACTTTATGTCAAAATGAAATTGAAAGTCTACGGAATCAACTAATGCAAGTTAACAAGAAACCCAGCAGTGACAATGATGGTGTGTTGACATGTGATGTAACAACAACAACAGGGGACGTCAAGAGTAAGATCCTAATCTTAGGTGATAGTAATGTAACTGAATTTTCTAATATCCTTTCAACATCTTTGGGGGATAAATACAAGATTTGTTCTTTTGTTAAGCATAATGCATTGTTAGACAGTATCTTGGAAAATGTTACTACACTCATTAGGAATTACTCGAAAAAAGATATTGTTGTGGTTATGGGTGGGTTAGTAAATTGTTTAACGGGCAAATCATTGAGGGATGACACTAAGCAAATATTAAAGGATATAGATGGAAAAACGAATCTTGTATTCATGTCGGTTCCGTTATGGAGGAACAGAAGAGTGCTGAATAAAATTATTACTGACTTTAACATACAAATTTATGAATTAAACAGTTCATCAACATTTGTCAATGTGAATTCTATTATTAACACGGATTCTTTTTTGTATCATAAAAGAGGAATGAACATGTTTTATTCAGCAAAAGTTAAGGTGCTGGATTATGTTAGGAATGTCATTTGTAAACTAACAAGCAATATTGGGAATAGTTGTAACGCGAGTACTTTTTTATAGATTTGAAAAACTCCGTTTTGCTTTTAAACTCGCAGAGTCTTTTATCAAAATTCGATGAGGTGTCTAGTTTGATATTTGATTCAAAACCACTAGTTGCATGTTTAACTGAAAGTAGAATAACGGAAGACATCGCGGATAGGGAGATTTTTATTGAGGGATTTCAAATTGTAAGGTGTGACAGCCATAATCGGCATACAGGTGGTGTAACATTTTTTATTAGGAATGACATTAAAATTTTAGAATGTAAGCGTTTTGTGTTGGATAAAAATTATTGGTTGCTACATGCTTCTATATTGGTACAGAAAGGGCAGCATGTTATTATCGGAATATACCGTTCACCAAGTGCAAGTACAGCAGAATTCTTAAAGAACTTTGAAAACTGGTGCTTGGAGAATGCAGACTTTAAGTACCCTACACTAATTCTTGGGGATTTCAATATTAACTGGTTGCGGGCGGATACCTATAAGAGACAGTTAGAAATATGTATGATGGATTTGGGGTTTAATCAGTTGTTGAATCAAATCACTCACCCAAGTGATGCAGGGGGAAGTATTATTGACCTGGGATTTTGTAATAGCTACAATGTCAGCAGTCAGGTAGCTGATACCCCAAAAATATCTGATCATTATATAATAAAGTTTAGTTTAAATAATAAAAAGGCCTTCAGTGAGGAATGTAGTAAGAGCGTTGATTCTCGGGGTAAGCTAGATTTCGATGAAATTAATAGAAGATTGTCTCTGGAGAGGTGGAATTATATGCTCTGGGATATAGATGACAAGTATAGTCAGATTTTTTCAACGATAGTGCGAATATTGAATGAAGTTTCCCCAAAGAGGGAAATAGTTATAAAATCCAGATATAAAGAATGGTGGAATGAAAGAGTGTACGATGCTGTCCGATGTAGAGATGAAAGTTACAAACATTACAAAAAAAATAAAAACAACGAAAATAAAGCTACTTATAGAAAAAACAGGAATAGGGCTGTACAAGTAATACGTGAAGAGAAAAAGAGTCACTTTGAAAATAAAATCGATAATTGTAAAAATAATTCAAAAAAAATGTGGGAAACATTAAAACCGCTATTATCTAAAAACAAAAAAGACCATAATATCAAAGAGCTTGAAATTAACAATGAGATAATAAGCGAACCCCAATTATTGTGTAATAATCTCAATGACTATTATATTAATAGCATTCATGGGATTGTGTCTGAAATCGACGTAAATGGAGGAATTCAATGTATTGACCAAATACAAACACCGCCAGGAGGTTTAGCACGGTTTATGCCAATAACTACAGATCAACTGAAGGAAATTGTTTTTCAATTGCCATGTAAAGGTAGTCCTGACGAGCTATCAGCGGACTTCATAAAAATGATATACGCAAGTATTGAATTCCCTCTGCTAAATTTAATCAACTATTCACTGGAAACAGGCACTATTCCATCACCCTTAAAAATTTCAACGGTTATTCCGATACCTAAAGTCCGCGATGTGAAAACTGCTAGTGAGCTGAGACCAATAAATATGCTAGCGACTTTTGAAAAAATTATTGAGAAAGTTATTTATGATCAATTTATCGAATATATTTCAGAAAAGAAAATATTGTATGCAAACCAATCGGGTTTCAGACAAAATCATAGTTGCGAAACAGCCATACAAAATATTTTATATAATTGGAAGAACCAACTGGATAATGATGTTATGATTGGGGCGGTTTTTCTTGATTTTAAAAGGGCATTTGAGACTATCAACAGGTGTAGCTTGGTGCAAAAATTGCAAAAATATGGTATAGAAGGTGTAGCTCTAAAGTGGTTTCAGAACTATTTGCAGAATAGGAAACAGAACACATACATAAACAAGATCACTTCTCCAGAAATTTTAAACGATAATGGCGTACCACAGGGAAGTAAATTGGGGCCATTACTGTTTCTTATATATATTAATGATATTGTTAAGTGTATAACAAGCTGCCAGATCCATCTATTTGCAGATGACACTTTAATTTACTTCTGTTCTAGAGATTTGAAATTGGTGACTGATGCTATTAATGGAGACTTGGAGAATGTATTATCGTGGTGTAATGGAAATTTACTAAAATTAAACGCATCAAAAACAAAGTTTATGCTTATTGCTAATAATCAGCAATATAATATGGCAACTCCATTTAAAATTGCCATTGGAAGTGAAGATATTGAGATGGTTGAAGAGATCAAGTATTTGGGTGTTATAATTGACAGAAGGCTTCAATTTAAGGAACACATTAATTATATTACTAACAAAATAGCAAAAAACACGGGTGTCCTGACTAGAGTAGCACCTTTTCTATCAAAGTGGACTCGCATCATGGTGTATAATACCATTATTCTACCACATCTTACATACGCATCATCGGTGCTGTACATGATGAACAAAAACGGAAAAGATAGGCTGCAAAAGTTACAAAACAAAGCGATGCGAGTAATACTTCATTGTCCCAAGGACACAGCGGTTAGATCTATGCTACTGTCTCTAAACTGGTTATCCATCGAGAATTTTTTAAATTATCAAGCCATGACATTCATTTATAGAATAAAGAGTTCTGTAATGCCAATGTACTTGTCATCGAAACTGCTGTACAACCGTAACGTTCACGATCACAATACAAGATCTCAGAATGATTTGCATGTAGCAACCAAGAATAAAAAGAGCACTGAAAGGGCATTATTCCATAATGGCCTAATTAATTATAACAAACTACCAAATGATGTAAAAAGCAGCTCAACGCTTAATATATTTAAATCGAAACTGAAAAAATTATTAATCGACAATGGCCAATAGCTTGATGTGTGGCTGTTGGAGATACATAGAAAGGAATCGTTGAGTGCTTTATGTCTGAATGTGTACATATACCCTATTTGTAGCTTGTGTTCAGTGTGACAATGTACTATGTACTATTATTGAAATCTATGTTTACTTTCTATAGCTGTGCCTAAAATAATCTTAATTTAATTTCTTATTTTTATTTTATTTTATCAAATTTTATTAGACATAACAATGTATGATGACATGTATTGTATTGTGTGCTTTATGTATACATACACTGTGCAATTTATAGTTGTATATGAATATTATATTATGTACTCTATGTTTTGTAAATTAGCCGTACATGCTAAATAAAGACCTAATAATAACATGTTGTCAATACAATGTAAAATTGTCAATGCTTTCAAATTTTGTACGTAAAATGGCTACAAAATTTTTGACCTGGGATGGGATCACGACAAGAAGAATACTACTTTCATGACGTCAACCGCGATTTATTTATCGCGTACAGTACAGGCGATGATGACGGTTGCTAGGCAACCTGACGTCATGAAAGTAGAACTCTAGTAGAATTCTACTTAACGTGATCCCAGCCCTGGGTAATAAAAAAAACAGTCTTTAATATATGGAAAGGAAAAATAAAACTATCATTTTATTTATGATAGAGAATGTATGACCCCTGGACCCTGGGCACAACGTTGTCGGGTTTAACCATTATTAGGTGTTTTCTGAAAAACTCTTTTCTTGTGTTTTCCTTTGAATTTGAAAAGCGTGGTATTAGGGTACTTTAGCGTGGCGCGTGGCGGCAAGTGGAAAAGCGTGGTAATCACGCCTAAATCGGGGCGTCTGGCAACCCTAGAAATTATCCTTGTGCAAAACGCAATGAATATCCAGAGAATAACATTATGAATTACCTATTGTGTTTTTTGCACCTCCATTAAACTAGCAGCTCATAGAGCAATAATGTTCATCAATATAGCAAGAGCAAGTATATTGTCTGATTCAAGATTTCTTTGTCTGATGAACATTTTTAAAAGTATTATATATATGGGATTCTCATGACTAACCTAAATCTACCGAAAGCAATAATTTGTTTTCACTGTTTGAGAGTTAATTGAGTATTGGAAAGTATATTTTTTACTTTCCAGAGAAACCAATAGTTCACCAGAGGCCAAAGCCCACCTAAAATGTAAATAAACTCCGTAGTTTGCCTGTTTTTCAATAGCATCCGCTTGAAGGTTATTATTTAAAATGGGGGGAATCATTCTAAACCCGTTCCCAAATGTACCTGTTACCTACCTATTTATATTTTTTCAATTGACGTGCATTTTATGCATCTATCAAACTTTAATATCGTATTGAATTAGGACAAACAGAAGAAAATAAAAATCCAGTAATAATTTTTTTTCTAGTGGATAAAACCCGGGATAAAACATGTGATTGGACAGACAAGGACAAAGAAATTCTTTTGCTGGCTCTAGAAACCTATGGAGAATCCATACCAGAGTTGCAAGAAGAGCTACCACATAAAACCGCTAGTGATATACAAGCTGTCATAAGCTTTTACAAATCGGCAAGTGAAGCTGAGAGAAACAAGGAACTGATTTCCAACTGGCTCGAAATTCTAACATATTTGGAGGGTAAAAATGCTGGTATGCAATTGGTGTCACGAGCACTAAAGTATATTGCAATGTTCGAGAAAAATAGTGGCAGTGATGTGGATGTGAAGTAAACAGAATATCTCTCATTGGGGCCCGGTAGTACATTCCAAGCTCAAATATTGGTTCAGATGAACTGGACTGGTACTTGAACTTATCCCATTTAAAATGCGATTCTGTCAAAAAAAATTACAGTTTGGCACATGTCTGTAAAGTAAAGTAATTTATGTAAAGTTAATGATGTCAGTATACACAAAGTATTTAGACAAGTCAACAGTATAGAATAAAATAATAATCTCAAGGCTATAGCTTAGGTCAGGAGCTGAACTAACCATTACTTTTGTTTGTCTATCAACTACCTAATTGAAACAGGAAATAAGAGAACTCGTAAGAGAATAAACAAATACAGATTAAAATTCATACAGTCTAAAATTCAGATATAAACAGTTTAAAATTGAGACATGTACTATAATACATAATATACAACACATTTCAAACAAAATTACTAGTGTTGGAGAAACTCCTGTGTACTGTAAAAAGCTTTGGAGCATACTAGTTTCTTAACTGTTTCTTTAAATAGGTTAATGAGTAATTTCTTTTGTTTATCGGCAATTTATTAAATAACATGACAGCAATGTATGTATTTTAAATTAGAAAGTTCAAGTACCAGTAGAGTCACTGAACCACTCTTTGAACATGGAATGTACAACCAGGCCTAAGAGTCAAAATTTTATTCAATATTTTTTTTTAGCGAAGCGATGATGTTCCTTTCAAGAGTTTCCGATAACCAAGGTGCTGCAGAACTATCAGATGCCACAGGAACTTTTTTGCTCCAAGTCTTAAAAGCGCTGGCAAGAAGACTCAAATCACAAGATAACACTGAGGCTGAAGAGTACTTTAAGAACTTACGCGATATTGATAAATCAAAAATAAATGATGTGTTTATGAATCCTTTGGGAGTGCCAAAGAAAATGCTGAGGTTAACAGCTGCGGATAAAAAGTGAAAACACATTCCAGTAAATCAACATTTTATGTATATATTGTGAATTCTAGAATAAGTACATAGTAATAAATTAAGTTTCATAATTTTAAATTTAAATTTTCATTTAAACAGGAATTGCAAAATAACTATGGAATATGTAGCTACCATGGTAGTAATAGACCCGAGAATGCCAAAGTTCAAACGAAAAAAACATCCTGCATGTAAACAAATTTGCCTTGATTTACTTTGATCTAGTATAAAATTTAATTCGTTAATTATCAGTTGGTCTTCTTCAACCTTTCTGTTCATTTTTTTCATAAGGTTGTAGCAAATTCTGGTGGTTCTTTCACCTTCAACATCTTGATTTTCACCTACATAGGCCATCATACCAGCTTGCACCTAGAATAGAAGATAATATTCATTACACTTAATAAAAATGAACTGTGTTTTCAACAATGATGAAAACGAATTCTTATATCGACACTGAAAAACAAAAACTAATTCATGTTTTTAAAAATTTTGCATAATATACTCCTGGACAAAATTATCGCACCACCACTGCACATAAGCATCATAAGCAGTGGTGCGATAATTTTGTCCAGGAGTATATTAAGTAGTGATGGATGATACATTAATACTTTTTCAGTTAATATTAAATTTGTCAAGAATGTTGCACAAATCAGAATAGTAATTTTTATAATTTGTTAGGCTTTCTTCTTGATTATAAAACTTGAACATCTTCAGAAGTACATTATCCCTTGTTATTGCTGGCGAGTATGTAGGTATTCACCAGAAAAAAAAAAGAATTATTATTTACTGGAATGGAATAGATGAAAAATATTTAAATATTTAATCGTAATTAGGTAATCAATTATTATTAATAGTCTCAAAAAATACATCTGATTTTATTTTGCTGTTGATTATTTTAATTTTTATAGAAATCGTTCCTAAATAAAATTTAAAAAAATACTTCTGCCAAAATCTCGCAAACAAAATATCATGGCATGCCAAACAACAATTGCTGACAAAAGACATGAAACCAATGAGATTGTTTTGTAGGACTTTTCCTTTGTCAAAAAATAGGAAATATTTTCTAATCCGGTTGGTGTGAAATAGCATTTTGCTGCTATTCGAACGCATAATATATTTTTTTTGAAATCATTGCGCTATTCGACGTCCTATAACTCCTATACCAAATTATCCTTACTAACAACATCAACCCTGATTAAACTAGTAAATTGACTACGGGAAAATCACTTCCCACTCATTAATCATTTTTACTTAACTTTACACAACAATTTCCTCATATAAACTGATCTGACAGAAAAAAGTTTTGGTGGAATAGATACTTTTTAGAGGTTTTAAGAAAAGAAGTTCAACCGAGACGAATGGGATCGGTACAGAACGGCTTCTATGAACTTATAAATCCATTAGGAAGACAAGACGGGAATCCTACAGTAGTTTCTGTGAAGGTGTGTGCTGATCAGACCAGACCTGCCTGCCAGAGCCAGATACACAGGGTACTCTCCAGTAATCCGATGCAGGAGCTAGGTTCTAGGTTCGATAAAACGACCAGATGGCTCATTTACGGACTCTGGAACGGATACACTAAAGCTCATAGCAGAGAACCCTATTTTAGGTAGCCTGTTTCTGAATGATGAGACTGGGCTCAAGGCAAAAACTATGACCCAGCCCCCAGCCCCATCCTCCGTCAGGTGGTAGTGTCAATATCATCCGAGCAAATGCCTCCGTCTTTTTTGCTTGAAGCGGTTGATTGGGTGTTTCAAAATAGCTGATCGTTTTCGTTCGATTCACGTCATCTTCTAAGACTTAAAGGGGGTGTGCGCCAAAAAAAACCAACTTCATCTCAAAAAAAAGAGAAAAAAAATCTAAGAATAACAGTGAAATCCGCACCCCTCTATGACAAGTAATACCGCAAATATGGCTCTATGAAGGTACCGCATCTCACCCTATGACGTCACGAAAGCTCAAGCGACGCACGAGAAAGTGGAGTTAATTAAATTTACATATGTTTTTCCTGTGTAACCTGCAATAATCTAAACAAAAACCACTCAGGCGTGCCGGGAACAATCAAATTAACAATGCGGAGCGCGGCTTTGCGAAGTTCTCGTGACGTCACGAGAGCGTCGTCCACACTTTGAAGCGGTATATCTCAGCGATGGTTTATCGTAGGATAACGAGGTTTGAACAGTTATTCTTAGATTTTTTTAAACTAAAACTTTAATTTTTGGCGCACACCCCCTTTAAGGCTGCCAGAGAAAGCCCGCAGGGTGGAGTGCTATCTACTTTCGGCCCTGTTGGTGGACGACTTGCTGAAAACTCCCGCAGCATTAGGGGTGGAAGTCAACGCATATGGAGAAATGTAGTAGCAATAAGTACCTATGGAAGGTACATCCCAACATGGGATATCCCTAGCTCCCCAAGGGGCAATAAACCCCGAACAAATTTACTGGCTATACGTGACGGTCATAAGACCATCAGTCACTTTTGGAGTCATTGCCTAGTTCTCAAAGAGCAAACGAAGTACTGCGGGAGCCAAGCTATCAAAGTGGCGAAAGCAAGCGTGCCTTATAATTTTCAATCACTGGTGCCTTTGGCACAACTCCAACATCAGCTTTGGAATGCCTGCCAGAACAGGGCCTGGATTCCGAACCCCCAATTCGATAGTATCGTCTATCTTTATTAATATATAGACGATACTATCGAATCGTGCGTTCGGAATCTGGGCCCTGCTTCCTTTACACGCATAGGTACCAATGTGAAAATACAGACCTGACGGGCAAACTACAATATACAACTATGAATTTACAAGAACTTTGGACCAGTCTATGCAACTAATAGGGTACTGGACGACAGCACCCTCAACATGCGGTTTCAGACGTCATGCCTACCACATTGAATCATACACAGCTTTATAGAGTCTACCTCCAGAGAGCGACGAATGGGATTGGAATCCAACCGACCTACGTGAAGCAGAACAAAGCTGGTTTACAGATGGATCGAAAATGCCAAGTGGCGTGGCAACTAGAATATATGGAGAGGAGCACCGGACAAGCTTCATAGCTAGTCTAGGCAAAAATGCAACAATATTTCAAGCAGACGATCACGCAATTGATCTTTGTGTTCGGAGTGTGGAAAAGAAACACCTCAGAGGTAAGTCAACTAAAGTTTTCTCAGATAGTCAAGCAACGATAAAAACACTTGAATCCAATCGATGCTCATCCAAAACGGATCGGAAACGTTATGGGAGGAAGTAACAGAGGCATACATTTTGTGAACCTTCGACATCCAGAGTAAATGAACTGTTTTCAAATAACCGGTAACAGGTGAGAACCTTGACAGGTTTTTACACCGGCTGCTGCTGGCTAAACGCTCATATGCACAGAATAAGAATCAACGAGAGATATGAGTGAAGTCTCTGTATGGAAAAGGAAGAAACGGCTGGAAATATTATTTATAGCTGTTCAGCATCGCAACAACCAGATATCAAGTATTTAGAGAAATCCAACGCAGACCAACAACAGGCTTGAATTCCATTTCACCCTACAAGATAGCCAACTACTACATACCTATCCTTCAATAAAAAGTAATTGCAATGTGAGTCAGGTTTTTCACCGATGCAGAATGAGTCCTTGAGTGTACCTCCACATTTTCGGATGGAACTTGTATTTACAATTTAGATGAGACAGCAAAAACAACAGTCCAAAAACCCCTAAAAATCATTGCCAAGGAAGGGACAAAACAAGTTAACTCGGCAACAAGCGGTGATCAGGGCATATTGGTAAGGAGGTGAATATTGCAGAAATAAGATAAGAAAGAAGTTTACTTCAGGGTTTAGTTTTTGTATACAGGATTCGTGAAGATACAGACTTCATAAAGTAGTTTGCTATTGCGAATTTGGTACAATTCCTCGTTTCCTTTCCGCTGCTAATGGAAGTTTCATGCTCTGGACTGGGTCCAAAATACCTTTTTTCCTTTATTATTTATCTTATTTTCCATTTTCAGCATTTTTATATTTATCTTTACCCAATGCATAGGCGTATCCAGGGGGGGGGGGCTGCCGGGCTGCAGCGCCTCCCAAGGCAAGTCTAGACTTTTTTTTTCCAGCGTATTTTATTGACATGTAAAGTTTTTGTATAAAAAAAATAGAAATAAAATTTCTTTTTTTCTATAATAAAGTTTTTCAATGGCGGGGGCCCAATGCAGCAAGGGAATCAGTGCTTCATCTTAATCATCTTGAATGTCCGAAATACTTCCTTCCTCAGGGGCCCAAATCTCGTCTCAGGGAGTAGTGCAGTAGAGCTCTCCGATAGAACGCATGTTTTGTCCTTGTCAACGTAATCGGAAAGTAAAAGAGAATGATAAACACGTGAAATGTGTTCTCTTGGGGAGCTCTACTCCCTGAGACAAGAATCGGACCCCAGGCTACTTATTCTTGAAACCAGGGACCAGCGTTCTCATGAGAACGATTGCTCTGTCTTTCTCAATGATATGCAAATGATAATATGAGTAACACAGACGGAACAGTTATTCTCATGGGAATACTGCTCCCCTGTTTCAAGAATGAGGGCCATGGTTCTTATTCTTGAAACAGGGAAGCAGCGTTCCCAGGAGAACGAGTGTTCCGTCTTTCTCAATGATATGCAACTGATAATATAAGTAACAAAGACGGAACACTCGTTCTCCTGGGAACGCAGCTCCCCGGTTTCAAGAATGAGGACCCAGGAGGGAAGGAGCTCCGTGAACAAAATTTCTCCTCCTTACCAAAAAAAGCGAATAGGTGGCCGGATGTGAAAATTTTTGTCGCCCGGCAAAAAAAAAAATGCGTGTAATACGATTCTTGACGCGTAACATTTGGGTATGTAACAGGTGAATTCCTGACAAAAATAAGCAACTTTCACATTTTTAAATTAATTTGTTAGGTAGTCATTCTGATAACATCTGTATACTTTTTTTCCAAAAAAAAAACATCGAATTTTTAAACTGCTGCGAAAACGCGGGATAGGAAAGGGACGTCACTTTTCCAAACATGCGAGGATGCAGAATTTCTCATTAGTAAACCATTCCAAAATATGGCTGATAAAAAACCAATTAACTATAAAATATAAAAAATATGTTCCTGGAATGGCCCGCCCCAGCCTATCTATAAAATGAGGCAAATTGATATGGAGAATGTGGGGGATACCTATCTCTATTTACCTTATGGGCCAATTATGAAAATCTTTCCTTGTCTAAAAAAATATTATATTTGAGGTTAGGAATATACACCAAACCTAACAGCAATGTCAATGAACTAGAGAGAGAAAGGTATCCCCCACTATATAGCTATCTTTGCACGCAGTGAGAGAGATGACAAATGCCATATCCGACAACGGTCAACCTTTTTTGATAAAACAGCCCCCCCAAACCAAAATACGCCAATGACCCAATGCATCTACAATTACAATTTTTTTTTTGTATAAGATTTTCTTATTCTTTGGCAGCAATACTTTCTTTAGGCTAAGCACGTAGTTTTTACGTTGTTTTCAATAACCCGTGCATCTAAAGAATTGCCCGTTTTTCGAGAAACTTCTGAAGCATGCATAAAATATCTGTTCAGGGCTGATGTATTCGTATAATTTCTTCAGCTGTCTTTAATCGTCTATTTTCGTGTTATGTTTCATGATCTGGCCAAACCTCGATTATCTGGCCCAATGCCCAATAAGAATTAGTAGATGAGACAATCAGACGAAGCCGTTTCTGGAACAAATTGGTAGTGGGGGTAACGATGCGCGACGCGCTGGTACGGTTGTGCATGTAGTACCGACTTTGAACACCAAAGATTGCTAGACGGCTGCAAGTAGCAGGCGTTTGGGTTATCGCCTCGGGCTGTCGGTGGCTGCGAATTGTGGGGAATGCGGATGGTGGCTCCGAGCTGGGGGCGCAGGTCCCTGGGACCCCGGTTCCCATGAGAGCTTGACGAGCTTGTCTTGTATTGAATTATTTTTTCTAAAAATCTATGCACGATGGCGAGAGAGGTATACGAACATGTATAAATTATAATTCCAAAATTTCTTATTCTTTCTTTTTTTTGTCATTAAAAAATTAATGGATATAATTTTTGAAATAATTCAATATAAGACAAGCCCTCATAGGAAACCTGGGGCTCGGGAAACCCAGGGTCGCGTTTCCCGGAATCCTCCGCCACCGACGGCCCGAAGCAAGGACCCAAGCGCCTGCTATACTTGCAGCGCGCTCTCCCACTACCAATTTGTTCCAGAAACGGGGTTGTCTCATCTACTCCAATAGTGGTAAGTATCTACATTTGGTTTGGAAATTGAAAAATTACCTGAGAGAAATTTCCGCCATATTTCGGATGATTCTTTCAACCCAATGAACAACCAACATAGCTGATAAATTATAGTGACAGAAGTCTTGCATAGCTCAGATGAACATATGCAAAGAAATGTTATCAAAACGTCCGTACTTTTGAGATGAAGATTGAATTGTTTTTCTCTGGTTAGTTCTGTGTAGCTAGGTACATAAAAATTGCTTGAAACTGTTTGATATAACCACAAATAAATTTTGAACAAAGTAGGTACCTACTTACTTACCTATACTTTATAAATATACATTAATCAGGTGTTCATCTGACCTTATTCCAAAATACTTCTACTTAAAAATAAATCTTACCGTTGAATTCAATAGGTATAGTACTTGGAGGACAAAAGTCGGCATAGTTGAATCCACACCATTTATTATTAGTTTTCCTCGTGTAACTACATCCGTTATTATGGTGATATTAAATAAAATATTCACTGTTATACAAATGAATTTCAACACCATAAGTATTTTAAAATACTGATTATAATCATCTAGAATGTTGCATAAATTGGTATAGTGACTTGAAATACTTTTTATAGACTCTAGATTGATATAGGGAATATTAGCTGTCTTTGATGTAGGTAAAAATGTTGCTATAACTGAGATTGCGTGATTTTTATCGAATTCTTCCAAATAGTTATTAACAGCCACGAAGTTTTCTTTAACTCTCATTGCCAATTTAGCTCCTGTGCAAAAAATAAAATTCCCAGTGAAATACCATACCTCATATGGTATGTAGTACTGACGTAAACCAAATCCTACTAATATTCCTAAATAATACGTGGCAGTTGCTATAGGAATCAACGGAAAAGCCCTTAATGCAAACAGAAATCGATCAAATCTTCTACAATTAATTTTGCCAATAATGAATTGATTTTTAAAAACAAATTTATAAACGTCAGCTAAAACTGAAGACTTTGACAAGCTGGTGACCAGGAAAATATTGAAAATTGCCACTAGGACACAATTTAAGCAGCCTATAATAGCTACCACACTATTATGACTTATTTTGAATAAAGCAAACTGGCCAAATATTGAGTAGATTAGCATGAGAACATAAATAAGTATTGTTACGGTTTGTATGTAACGAGTTTTCTTCTTGTGATGCAGTACCAGCAGCAACAGCTTTAGTTCGTAAGGATCATTTTTTTCAGATAGCATATGTTTAGGATTTTTTAACTTTTTAGGGTTATTGTATTCGTTAGAATGAAAACTATACATTTTTTTGTGAACTCTACTTAACAAACTTAAACAAACTGATGCACTGAATAATTCAGTATGTATTGACACGCAAAAAGTAGGAAAATAAAATTTGTTGCATGCCATAGATTGTATAATAAGCGTTTTAATTTGTCAAAATCAAATAATGTTCTGTAAAATGATATTCAATAGGATAATACAGTGGCGTGCTAAAATACATAATCAATGCCACAAAAGATGCTGAAAACTGAAATTCATCTCGAATAAACAATCCTATTGGTCCAAAAAAACCTCATGAGCGAAACTTTCTATTTTATTACATAAATATCTTAATATTTTCACTGGTTAATTATTCCTCCTGGGGACTTTTACCTTATCGTGGTGGTGGGGGGGGGTTCCGTAGCCTTCAACGTCCAGGGAGCGATGCCGGCGGTAGCGTAGCTACTGGCAGGGCCACCCATGCCAGTAAGGTCTCGAAGTGACGAAGGTGAAGCTAAAAAAAGTCCACAACACGCAGCGTCTGACTCAGAGTGAGCGGCTGCGAACAGCGTCTGTTCTCCATGTTAGGAGCGGCTGCATTTGAAACTCGCCAATATGCTTGGCAAGCGAGGCGTTTAAATTGCCGAAACCTTTAAGATTAAACATGCGAAAAGTCGAGTTACAAAAAAATCCTCAGGTGGGTAGAGATAAAATCTCAGAATCCCACACCGATGATCGATCCGGTCAGCCTCACGGAATCTGAGGGAGGCAATCACTCGATCACAAACAGGAAACGAAAACAAAAACAAAATAGGGCAAAACTCCAAATTGCAACATATAACATAAAAACAATGAGAACAGATGAACATTTGGGAGAGTTGAAGCAAGAACTGAATGCCATAAATCAGTGGCGGCTGGTTAAAGGACAAGTTGGTGGTGCACACCGGTAGGGGGGGGGGGGAGAGAGGGAAGCCCACGATTTTTTTTT